CCCCCCCATGCACTCCCTCGCTCCTTCCCCCACCTGGCAGCACCTGGGACTTGCAGCTTCCTGCTAGCTTCCTCACTGACTTGATTGTGGGAAGCCGGAGGAAGTTGCCTCGCCTAATGACTGGGGCATTCATTTAGTGACAGCAACCGGGATTGTGGTCGCTAAATGATGCAGTCACATGATGTTTCGCCTAATAACTGCATCACTTAGCAATGGAAGTTCCGGTCCCAATTGTGGTCATTAGGCAAGGACTACCTGTGCTTAATAGCCCTGAGGCAAATTTTATATCACCTTCACTGACTTGAAAACTGCGTTTGACTCAGTATCCAGAAATATATTGAGTGCAGTCTTTTTCTTTGATCACAGTGAATGACTTCTTTCTCTGATCTTGAAGTTCTATGAAAATAATGCCATGCAATTTTGACTGGTACCCTGTTCTTACTGCCACTATGCCCATTCAGCAAGGGGTGAAACTGGGTCATATACCAACATCCATGGGTGAAAGTCTGTCAAGACCTGAATTACAGTCAACTGCAATAGCCAACAGAGCTGTCTTGATCTTCTGTGCAGATGATGTGCCAGTCTTTTTAAATCATTATAATATGTATAAGAAAATTTGGGCCCTTGTGCCCCATTGTAGAGGTAATGGCCTTGACATCAACTATTCTAAAATAAAATGATTTATGTTCTCCAGAAATGCTGTGTCATGCCACCACTCTTGGAAAATTGATGGCATTAGCAGAAAACAAATCATTTTATATCAAAATTTAAATGTCAAGTCATTTACATATCTCAAGGTTTTCTTTTTGGCATCAGCATCTGAAAAGATCAGACAAGAATGGGAGCCTTGAAAGCTCAAAGCTATGAAAACATCAGTTTGCATTTGTGAGATGAAACCTCAATAATCATGTCCCAGGAGCAATTAATATACAAAGCAAAAGTGATGAGTCACCTAACCTGTGGAAGAGGCCCCTTATGAGACAGTTCAGTTGAAATTCCTAAGGGCTTTATTTGGTGTGCCCTGATCTGTACCCAGTCCTCTTTCTAAGGCTGGAAGCTGACCTGATCTCCGTAGAATTCTGAACTCAGCTCAGTCACTTGAATTATTGACTTACATTAATTTAGTTTAAGAGTTCTTTGGCTTTCCTGATCCATTGTGGCAGCTACATATCCAGACCATTTAAGAGAATAACTGCAGTGTCCTTACGCTATCTGAATGCACTTGGTTTTGACAAACCCATCAGAAGTGAAACAAACTTCAACACATACGTCTAGAAAGACCTTTGCTCTGACTCAAATGTATATAGCTGAGCTTGCCACTAAACTTTTTTCTGGTAGCCTCCTATTCTTCAGATATCCTTCAGCCATCATTTAGCAGAAATTTATCTTGGCCAAATATTATGAGCTATCATCTCTGCTCCTAGAAGGTTGATTTAATGGCACTGTTCTACAAACATGTCTCTGCCATGCCCACTGAGGGAAGTCAAAACAATCTCCCATATCCTCTTGTATTGGCCTCTTTACTCACTATGGCACAAATATCTCCTCTTCCCTCACCTGCCAATCTACTGTCAAAATTTAGAAGATGATGACCTTACACTCCACCCTTCAGCAGACAAGTCAATGACATTTTCCATGAGCTTTGCAAAATTTTGTGCAGTCATTATTGCAGTACACTCAAGAATTGTATAATCACTGTAGAGCATAACTTCCCACACAACATTCCAAGGCAGAATCTTAACTTCTTTTATGTATACGATATTCTTAACTTTACATATCATATACCCTGCAGTTTTGATAATTGCCTAGGATACAGTATGTGCATATGGCTCCTATGTGATTATTTTGTGAAAATGTAAACAAGTTCTTGCCTATGAGTAAACCCCGGAGAATGCAGTATATGTTATCTAATATTTCCTTCTCCTGTGAGTATTACGTGTTATTTTCTGATTTTATAACAGAATGCGTGAACAATGGTAGTTCACACGTGTTTTTCATCGGTAATGAAGCAGTGTCCATTTATAAATACCTGAGTACACCTTCCTTTTCTGCTGGAAAAATGATATTAAAGCCATTAAAAGAAAAGGGATATCAGTATTCCCACACAGACACATTGGTAAGTATTTATTTTATTTATTTTCTTTGCAGGATGGAATAATTTGTATTTGCAAGATTAATATTTAATATTACAGTGCTTTCTAACCAGTTATCATTCTTCCTCATAGAGCAGGGATTAACTATTTTTCTTCCAATCTTATATTACTGACCCTTATTTAAGTATTTCACACATTTTTAAGTATGTTAAGAATATATAGGGCAACAATTTTGGAAGTTGTGTTATGCCATTTAAATGTGTTATATGAAATTTGCCTCTTTTGAACTTTGACAGACAAGGCTGCTGAATTCCTTTCTACATATTTACTGCTTTGGCCTCATTTCTTTCCACTACTGTGGGCTAATAATTTTGATCCTTGATGCAGACACAGCAGAATTATGTATTCTTAGTTTGACTTTTGCCTCTCCGCATGGGTTGTAACATCCTTCCTTCTTTCATTCAGGAAGGTTGCTCTGAACAATTAATCACAGAGAAAAAAATAGGTGTGTGTTTGTTGTGTATTGATATAACTTACTGTTTGAGCTGAAAATAACCTTCTTTATGACATAGACTCCCTGAGTTCAACTGTTCTTTTTGCTTAATTCTAAATTGTGTTCATTTATAAAATATTCTCAGACTATGAGATTATAAGTAAAGATAGGTACACAAATATTTTAATAGATAATAGTTGCCACTGGAAATTATGCTCTGTTCATATTAACAGCCAAAAATTGAAAAGCTTTTGCAAAAATGTAATCTTCACATTTAGCAGCATGTAATATAAAATATAACTTATGAAAGCTAATCTATATTGCATCTTTAAGATCAACAAATCATGAGCCTCAGAAGGTTCCTTTCTATTGAAAATTCTTTGTCTGCTCCTCTGTGCTCCTGCTCTCTCTTTCTCTCTCTATATTTGCAGCTCCTTTGGACAGAGGAGACATCTTAGAACATGTTGATAATTCTTTTTTGTCCCATTTCATTTACAAGTCAAAAAAATCTGCAAAGTTAATGAATAACTCAAATTGGGGACAAGAATATGAGCGAAGTATTCCCACTAACATTTGCACTGCATGGTGTATTAACTTTGTAGCTTTTCATCTTTATAAGTGTCTAGTGCTGTATTAATAATTCATTACCTATAGATTTACCTCCTTGGAACAGTAGCAGCTTATTTTTTTCCTTTAAAATAAAACTCTTTTCTATCATAATGTAATGTTTGGAGTCTCCATTGTATTGATTCTGTGGAATGCAGTAGAGGTAGAGAGGTCCATCATAGGAAATTTACTCAAGATACTTATTCTTTTTTCCTGCATCCTCATCCTCAGGGGAAGAGCAAATTTTCACATTGTCAAAATATTAGAAACTGGAGTTTATAGGAATAACCTTTTGATCTATTAAAAATTGTTGAAATCCCCTTCTGACTTGTGAAATGGAGCTTGACATCTGTCAGCGCACTAATTTTTAAGCAAAGAGGACCTGCTGCTTTTTGCAAGATGTCCTTAATCCAGGAGTTACTGTACTGTTTTTCTTCTGGCAAGAATGTAGTATTGAGATTGTGGGGACCCAAATACAGGTAGTCCTTGCTTAGTGACCACAATTGAGACTGGCAACTCCATTGCTAAGCACTGCAGCCGATAAGCGTAAAATCATGTGAATACAATTGGCTTATTACTTCTCTTTTGATTGTTAAGTGAATCACTGCAATCATTAAGTGAGACATCACGTGACCATGACTTGCAATTTTACTTCCATGTTCTCCACTAACTCTGCTTGTTGGAAGCTGGTTGTGAAGCATGTGAATGGCAATCACATGATTGCAAGATGCTGCAATGGTCATAAATACACACCAATTGCAAAGCACCCAAAGGGCAATAATGTGATTGTGGGATGCTGTGACAGCTGTAAATGCGAGGACTGGTTGCAAAGCTGTTTTTTTTTTTTTACACTGTTGTAACTTCAAATGGTCGCTAAATGAGGCAATCAGTAAGCGAGGGCTACCTGAATATGAAGTATTGTCATATTCTTCATCACTGATGCAGCTAACAGGAAATGGTTAATTCCACTTCTATTCAGAAGCAGAGCTTAGACTTTGAGATCTAGTGGAGGGAATCCCTCCTTTCTCAGTTCTGCTTCCTAGAGAAGAAGGGCTTCATGTCAAAAATCAACTCTTAAGCTTCATGGAGGACAGGAGGTATGGTTACCAAATTTCTGCCCAAATCCCAACCAACTTGGGAATGCATTTGTGCACAGGACCTTAAGAATTTGCCTCAAATGGACAATGGGAGAGAGGAAGGCCATTAGCTTATTTGTGTCTTATAAAACAGGATGCACGGGAAGTAAGCATCTTGGTTCTCTGTAAATAGATGGGTCAGACGGGAAATAGGAGTCTGATATCTGCCATCATCAAATTCTAACTTGCTTAGGGTGCATAGTCACGAATTTGTTCATTGAAATTGAGACCAATTAACGTATCCCAAAATGAACTACTGTACTACTCTTCCTATCAGGAATGGTGGAAAACATGGGGCCCTGGTGTGCTGTTGAGAAAGATATAATGCATTAAATGTTGCTTTACAGGAGAATTCACAGATTCATAAAATACTTATTTTCTTTCTAAATACATCAAGTCCGGTATCCTTCATACTCTGGTGATAGGCTGCTCTTGTTATTTTTAAGGAATAAGCTACTGCTTGATCCCTCCTGAAAATGAGTGGAAAACATTAGGACTATGATGTATTGGAGTGAGTATAGCACAAAATTTACTTGGCACTCCTAGTTTCCAAGGCATCTGGAATAAAGTACAAAATGCTTGAATATAATGTTTCAGTAGTCAACAAAATGATGCATGTCACCAGAGCAGACATTCATTACCGTCCCTTAGTATTATTAGGTGTAAGATTCTGTGATATTATTCCTAGATCTGACAAATCAAACTTGGGTTTGGAGTACAACCAGTGTGGCAGATCTTCTCTTTTTTATGTAGACAGACTTAAGATTTAAAGAAAATTATTTGCTATCATTATGTTGCCAGAGAATAAACCTGTTCATGCTATTAAAACTATGCTTATGAATTTCATTTTTCAAGGTTTTTCACATTAGTTGTGGTAAACTTCTTTTAACGCTGTATGATCAAAACTATTGTCTGACTGCTGGAAACTATTTTTTTATTCCACCAGGTAAGTGAACTGATATTTTTCATATTAGAGATGGCTAAAGTAAAAAGAAAGTGTGAGCATTTAATAAAGAAAATAATTTTATTTTTTTAGTGGTACTAGAAGCATGCATTATACATGTTTGTGTGATTAAGAGCCATGGCCCATGAGAAACTACAAGTAGCTAACTGTTTCTCCCTATTCCTTCTGGGTCTTCAGTGAAGGACAAAGATGGGTACTTTCTGCCTAAAGGGTGTGTCTGTCTTCTCTGTCTTTTCACACAAGACATAGGAACAGGCATGGATTAGAATCTACCTGGTGCTACATCATTTCTTGAAAATGTACAAAGAATTTCGCCTGGAATGTTCTGAATTGGTTGTGTTCTGTCAGAACAACACTCTAAACAGTTTAGATCAGTGTTGTTCCAACCTATGCCACCTCCAAAATAATGGGTGATTTACCCCCCCCAACACCCCCCCCCACCCCCCCCCCTTTCATAATACCTCGTTTTGTAAAACAAAGTT